GTCATGGCTTTGATCGAAGGGAAGGCGCCTAATGTCGCGTGGGCCCTCTTGGGGCGTTCTCGGGGCGCTCTTAGGGCCGTCTTGGAGCCCTCTTGGGCCACCGTTGGGGCCTTTTGGGGCCAGCTCAGCGTCCCCGAGAGCTCGTCGGAAGCGAGAGTGCGAGAATGCAGAACGCATAGGTTCACCATAGGTTTGGGACGGATTTTGGATTCTTGCGGACATCCTTTGAAGACTCCATGGCCGCGTGGAATAGTGTTGGAGCGGTCTCGGAGCTTGGGCCGTCTTGGAGGCCATCTGGTACTTTTCTTGTGTTTTATTCTGCCCTCTTGGAGCCATCTTGGAACATCTGGGCGTTCAAACCGCTCGCGAGACCCCCTCCTCCAGACCCATGGGAGATGGTGTGGGAGGGGTACGCCCTGCCCAGAAGGGGAATAAAGGCTTGTTGAAGAGGGAAGAAAGAGCTCGTCAGACCACCTCAACCCAGGGAGCTGATGGGGTTAGCAGTAGTTGTCGCAGCTGTACTCGCAGAGGTCGTAGGAGCAGCAGCGTTTGCCTGGGTAGCACTCACGGCTGAATCTGTGAGGATGCGACTCCTGGGAGATGCGCTTCAGCGTCGGCGATGGTATACCCGTGGCCAGAAACTGGCGTAATCCGGCATCGTCCCGCCAAATTCAGCGTGATCCCGCAAATTCTGGCTCAATCTTAGGTTGGGCCTGGGCAAATCTGGCTCAAACGGACCCTTCGTCAGGCTTGGGAGCCCGTAGTCTCTCCTGCGAGAGCATCCCAGGAGCTGCCTTTTCTAGGCCTCCCAGATGGGGTCCGAGTAGATGGGGTCGGAGGATCGCGCCGCACCAGCGATGCATGGGCGATGCGGCTCGATGCGGAACCCGAACTTCTTCACGTCGACGTCGCCGATGCATCGCCGTCGTCGACGATGCGTCGCCGATCGGCGATTTGGTGCAATCTTCCGACACCATCTGCTTGGACCCCATTTAGCAGCTCTATACTTATGTTGTACGCCCGTCAGTGTGGGCCGACGCGCTTGGCCCTGGTGGTCACACGTCTCAGATTTGGGCGCATTCCCGGGCTGCGGACTCAAGGAGAGGTGGTGCAACGGGTGAGTGAGTGAGTTCGGGTTCACCCAAACATCCTTCCTATTCTATGGATTCGCTGCCCCCCAATGGGCTCATACATTTTATAGCATATGCTCGGTGGCGGGCGCTTCATGGCCATACCGCTGGGAAAACGTTATAGTATAAGAATGGCTCTGCTATATGATCTGGTCGGACGCATGCCTCCAAGGAGAAAGCGTAGTACTGGTATGCCCTTCTGCGTCCCACGAGTGAAGCTCGGTGCAGCAGTCTGCCGCCTCTCCTCGAGGGAGGAAAAAAACACCCCGACCGCCATGATTGGCGTTTACTGAGCGGCCCCAGGCGTTTACTGCACAGCCCTGCCCTGCTCGATTCCTTCACTTGGGTCCGTTTGCTACACGGTTTCGCTTGTCGGGGTACTTGAGGTTGGTTTTTCAGCTCTCTATGACCACCGGTGAGGGTCACTATGGGGGTCATTACAGTTGCATCAGAGTCACCGCTGAGGCTCACTATCGTCCTGCAGCCCCTGGGTGTGAGCAGAGTCTAGAAGACGGGAGGAGGGCGAAGAGGAGGAGGATGAGGAGGAGAAGGAGGAGGAGGAGGAAGAGGAGGAGGAACAGGAGGAGGAGGAGGAGGAGGAGGAAGAGGAGGAAGAGGAGGAGGAGGAAGAGGAGGAGGAGGAGGCGGATGAGGAGGAGCAGGAGGAGGAGGAGGGGGAGGAGGACGAGGAAGAGTCGGAAGAGTGGGAAGAATTGGAATCGGAGCCGGAGGAGGAGGAGGAGGAGGAGATGAGGAGGAGGAGGCAGAGGAGCAAGAAGAACAGGAGGAGGAGGAGGAGGAGGAGGAGGAGGAGGAGGAGGAGGAGGAGGAGGAGGGGTAGGCGGAGGAGGAGCAGGCGGGGGAGGAGGAGGAGGAGGAGGAGGAGGAGGGAGGAGGAGGGGGAGGAGGAGGGGGAGGAGGAGGAAGAGGAGGAGGAGGAGGGGGAGGAGGAGGAGGAGGAGGGAGGGAGGGAGGCAGGGAGGGAGGGAGGAGGGGGAGGAGGAACGGTAATAATATGAGGTACATCAACACTAACCAGCATACTAGTAATATTATGCATGGGAATACTATTGATAAACGGAATGATAATGATACAATCACTAATGCGAATAAGGATAAGGCGAATCATACTAATTCGAACAAGACGAACACTACTAATATAATTACTGGTATCATCAATAGTACATTACACACTCAGAATAACAATCATACGACGCATATGGCTCATACGTGTAAGACCAGTAAGGCGAATCATATTACTGTTCAAAAATCATTATAGCATTAACCATGATAATACTATTCCCCATATAATTGCCATATCCAGTACTAAATCTACTACTACTACTACTACTGACAATAATAATCGTAGT